GATAAAGTAGTATCTTGTCATTTGTATTAGTCAGCTCAGGCTGCCATAACAAAATACTACAGATTGGGTGGCATAAACAACAGAAATATACTTCTCACAGTTCTGGAGGCTGAGAAGTCCAAGATAAAGGTGCTGACTGATTTTATTCCTGGTGAGAGCTTTTTTCCTGGTTTGTTGATAGCCGCCTTCTCACTGTCATCACATGATAGTGAGAGCAAGCTCAGGGCTCTCTTCTTCTTAAAAGGGTATCAGTCCCATCAGATTAAGACCCTATCCTTATGACCTCATTTAACTTTTATCACCTCCTCATAGGCCTTATCCCTAAATACAGTCACACTGGGGGTTAGGGTTCAGCATATGGATTTCTAGGAGACACAAACATTTAGTCCATAACACCATTCAAAAGAAGGAAGGAATAGGGGCGCCTGGGTGGCTCAGTTGGTTAAGCGTCCGACTTCAGCTCAGGTCATGATCTTGGGTTCATGAGTTCAAGCCCCATGTCAGGCTCTGTGCTGATAGCTCAGAGCCTGGAGCCTGCTTCAGATTCTGTGTCTCCCTCTCTCTCTGCCCTTCCCCTGCTTGCACTCTGTCACCGTATCAAAAATAAATAAATGTTAAAAAAAAAAAAAGAGAATATTATTCAGGTGAATATGCCAAAAACTTTCAGAGGAAGAGGATTTTGGGATTAACTTCAAAGGATTTGGACTTACAGAGTTGGAAATTATAACATGATCTGATTATTATATGTGGAAAGAAGAAGGCATATAGGATCTTTGTGCAGCCAGTGAGAATTTTGGGTTGATTGGTCTCCTAGTATATGAGAGGGAAATGAGCGGAAAGTATGTGAATTCCAAGGCATGAGAAATTTGAATGATGAGCTGTGGAGTTTGTATTTTATTTCATGAGCAATAGGGAGCCACATTTTTAAAAAGGAATGATATCAGGGGTACCTGGGTGGCTCAGTTGGTTAAGCTTCCAATTCTTGGTTTCAGCTCAGGTCATGATTTCGCGGTTTATGGCATTGAGCCCTGTATTGGGCTCTCCCTCTGCCCCTCCTCTGCTCTCTCTCTCTCTCAAAATAAATAAATAAACTTAAAAAAAAAAGGAAAATTTAAAAAAATTAAAAAGAAATATCAGAGCTGTTCTCACGGAATATTAATCTGAGAGAGATTTTAAGGGGCTGAAACTGGTAGCTTACTACTGGTCTGGTTAGGAGGTTGTTATTACTAGTCAGGAAAGAGGTAATGAGAGCCTGATCTGTAATAGTGGTATCAGGTACTCACCCATGAGTCCAACATTGATCCTTCCTTAATAAGCCAGCTTTCTAGTGGTGAATCATACAAATAAACTAATAATTACAATATAATGGGATAAGTGCTAGGATAAGATTCAATTCACTAGTACTATCTAATAATTTTAAACTTGAATATACCTAATTAAAATGCTCAATATTTACAAGGCAAAAATGGATAGAACTACAGGGAGAAATTGACAAATCTGCAATCACAGTGGAATATTTTGATTCATATCTCGAAATTAATGATAGAGTAGACAAAATATTAATAATGATATAGAAGCTTTGAATAATGCCAGTAACTGTATTGACGTTGGCTTAAATCAGAGAATAGCACAGGCCCAGAGAATAATGTATCCAACAACTAGAGAATATACCTTGATACTGTTTTTCCTTTCCCCAAATTCTCTTTCACAGTCTCCATTTTCCCACTTTTCAAAAAAAAAGGAATACCTCTTATCCATCCCAAATTTTCCATGATGCATCATCTTGGGGAATACAAACTTTAGATGTATAATATTGGCATTGGAGAATTCTCCCTCTCTCTCTTTTTATTTTAGAGAGAGAGAGAGAGCATGTGTAGAAGAGGGGCAGAGGGAGAGAGGGAACATTTATGTATGTATGTATGTATGTATGTATGTATGTATGTATTATTTGCAGAGAGAGAGAATCCTAAGCAGGCCCCACGCTGCCGGCACGGAGCCCGACAGGGAGCTCTATTTCACGACCCTGGGATCATGACCTGAGTGGAAATCAAGAGTCAGATGCTCAACCAACTGAGCCACTCAGGTGTCCTGGAGAATTCCCTTTTAATCTTAAACCTTCCATAGGCCATTGTCTTTTCCTGTCTTATATGAATATCCGTTTAGGGTGAGTCACGACATGAGAGAAGTAGTAATTTGACCTGTGTTGGGATATTCCAAAGTCAGTAGTAAGGTGCAGTTGGAGGACAGTTTTTGTTTGACAGTTTATTTGACCTCTTTCATATTCATATTTTGTCAAACAGTGAGTTACCCCTGAGGGAGTCACGTCAGAGCAGCACACTCAGGTGGGTCAGAAAGGCAGGTGGCAAGGATGCGGCCCCCATGCTGTAGCCGTAGCCTTTCCAGTCAAAGAGCTGGAGTCTTCAAGGGCTTACCCTGGCAAGAAGCACTTCCTGAATAAGAAACTGGGAGAAAATGATAGATGTGGCTTAACCAATAATTACCGATAATTATGAAACATGAAGTTTTTCTTAACTATTAATAATAAAAAGAAAATGTATTAATTATGTTGAAGAAGTCTTGATTATCTTTCTCTTTTTCCCATAGAAAATGATATAAAAAGCCATCATCATTTGAAGGGGTGATTGAAAGTGTCAGCTCAGAGTCACCTGGATTACTCAGTCGGTTAAGGGCTGGCCCTTGATTTCAGTTCAGGTCATGATCTCACGGTGGTGGGATTGAGCCCCATGTTGGGCTCTGTGCTGACAGCTTAGAGCCTGCTTGGGACTCTCTCTCTCTGTCTCTCTCTCTCTCTCTTTCATTTCTGCCCTTCCCCCACTCTCTCTTTCAAAATAAATAAATAAACTTAAAAAAGAAATATCAGCCCAAAAATGTAGAACAAGTGAGATATGTTCATGATATTTTCTGTTTTTCTAGGTTATATGATGTTTGTGGAGTTTATCATCCTTCAAATTTATAATTTGTTATGATTTTATTCCTGCATTACATAAATACTTACTTTTATACCATTTTTTGTTAATAATATATTCTTTTTTATTTTTTAAATTTTTAATATTTTTTTGGTATTCTTTTTTTTAAAGAGGTCTGCAACTCAAGTTATATTTGAACAAAGCCTGAATCCATCCTTAGACCTGATCTTTTTCTGTCTATTTCTCTCATCATTGCTTTTCATGTTCTTAAAAGCAGGACCGGGGCGCCTGGGTGGCTCGGTAGGTTAAGCGGCCGACTTCAGCTCAGGTCATGATCTCGCGGTCCATGAGTTTGAGCCCCGCGTCGGGCCTGTGCTGACAGCTCAGAGCCTGGAGCCTGTTTCAGATTCTGTGTCTCCCTCTCTCTGACCCTCCCCCATTCATGCTCTGTCTCTCTCTGTCTCAAAAGTAAATAAACGTTAAAAAAAAATTAAAAAAAAAAAAGCAGGACCTACACTAACACTAATATATATGGGATGCAGAACAAATATTCCAAAAATACCACCTATGACTTAGTGCCCTAAATTTTAGAAAAACAGCTTTATTAAATTAATTTCTCCCTCTCCAATATTAATATGTTGTTCCAATTATTAGATGCAAAATAAAAACTTAATATATTTTAAGTTTCACTAACAGAACTTCTATTCTCACTACTTATGTATAAAAATGAGATTTTTAAAAGTACTGTAGGTGTAAATAAAAAATAAGAATAGCTAAATCCTGACTTATTCTCGCAATAAAGTATTATTAACCCATGGATAAATAAACTTTTTAAACACATTTAAAAATATTAGTCAACTTAAAAATTTGTGAAGGATACACGGCTTTCACATTTCTTTAAGGGCATGCAAGCAAAAACATTTGGAGACAACTGATCTAGGCAAATAACTATGAAAGGCTATATAAATCAATCATGCAACTCCTTTAAGGGAGCCACCATCTATTTTTAACTGTCCTGTTGGCAGATTTCAGTAGACAGCTGTATCAGATGGGTGGAGGCTGCCTGATGGTGTGGAAGAACACAGTGTTGGCCCACTTATTTTCAGTTGTGAAACCTTCCCTTCAAATCCTAAAACTTAAATAATGCAATTGAGGTGAACATTTTTATAGTTTGGGGTGGAAATAACTCCCATTCGTGCTGTATAACAGAGAGCATGGGGGTCCACAGGCCTTGATGGGCAACAGCTCTGATCCATTTTCTTCACAGCCTTCCAGTCTTTTATCTGTCCAGGAATCCTAGGTACTTATTATTATCAGTAATTAGGTGCTCCAGATCTCCCTGATGTGGTGTTGTTGACAAGTCCACACTGGAGGTTGGTTTTCAGTTCAGAATTGTCCCTAGATAGTTGGGGCTAAATCTCCAGCTTCTGGGAGCCCTAAGGGTGGAGCACCAGTGGTAGCTGACTTTTTAGGGTAGGCCATCTCGCTTCCCTCATGTTATTCTTAGAGGAGAAGGGCCTATGCAAACTGACCATAACTCCAGAACCATTGCTTTTTTCATTTCTCCCCCAACCACTTTCCCAGGGTTTGAATCTATCAGATCTCTCCAGGCGAGCAGGTTCAGTTTGGATTCTAGAAGCTGCTACTTCATGGACTTCCTACTGCAGTAAGCCTACTAGACCTCAGTAATGAAATCCTTGAAATATGCACAGTGACTTCTCCAGAGTGCATATTTGCCCCCAGGCCGGCTGGATTAGGGCAGAGACTGCCTCATTTGCCCTCTCGGCTCAGTTCTGTGGCTCAGTGCTGGGCATTGGTCCTTCCTTTATGCTTTTGCCATAACTTTATTTCATAAACCCCATGAGTTTCTCTGTCACTGGCTTGGATCAATACAATCCAGGCTTCCTATCTCAGGGAAAAGTCAGTAGGTATAGGGATCTCTTGTTTTCAAAAGGTCATGTTAGGCCACTTCACTTTTACAGAAAACCTATAACTGGAAAAAATTCAAAGAGAATTTTTGCTTTTATGAAAGAAAGTGAAAAATAATAATAGCATTTGGTGTTTGTTTTGCAGTGAACCATTATATAGAGGCAGCGTGCACCCCCAGCAATGAGAGTGGCCACTCCAAGCTCCTCCCTGGGAACTAAACTCAGCATCTCAAATCAAGCTGCCAGAGCTTTGAACTGTGTGAGCATCTGTGCTTTATCTTGACTTATTTTATGCATCTGTTAGCAAGATGTGTCCTGAGGTATCAGAAAAGCCTAAGAGAAATTATTTTTGCATCTGGGAATACTCAAAACATTTTCCACATAAATGAATGGTAATTGCTTCTTTGCTTTATGCCATTCTGGCTCACAGAAGTTTTCATGGGAACACTCTACTTTTGATTAGCAGGGGAATCCAGTAGAAGGTCTCAAGTTACCTTAAGCAAAATTTCCCTCCCTATGGCTTTACTAAGAGGGTAATGAATTCTCACACACTTGTCCAAAGCTGACGGTGTATTGACCTTATAGGTACATAAGTGAAAGAGGATATTCAATTGACTTTGCAGAACAAAACCAAACACCCCCTGCCAAATTCCAAAGTTATCTTCTATTTCGTTTTTTAAAATATTTTATTTTATTTTAATTTTTAAAAACATTTTATTTATTTATTTATTTATTTATTTATTTATTTATTTATTTATGTATTTATTTTTATGAGAGAGCGAGAGAGAGAGAGAGTGAGGGGCAGAGAGAGAGGGAGAGTGAGGGGCAGAGAGAGAGAGAGAGAGGGAGAGAGAGAGAATCCCATGCAGGCTTTGCACTGTCAGTGCAGAGCCTGAAGCGGGGCTCAAGCTCACCTGAAGTGGGGCTTGAACTCAAACAGATCATGACCTGAGCTGAAATTGGATGTTTAACTGACTGAGCCACCCAGGTGCCCCAGTTATCTTCTATTTCCTCATATTCTGCGACCATAGGGCAGATAAAATAATAATGCTAGTAGTAATAAAACTAAGCTGTGGTAGACTACTCTCGTATTCAGATAAAACTGGAAACACTCTTAAATGGGAATGAAAGGCTTGAGTTCCACCTGTGTATTTGGCCTCTCTCTTTTATAGCAATGCTGACCCCCCTAACCCCACTGCCATATCCAACTGATGGCACATTTCTTTTTCAAAGTTTGTAGAGTCAATTTGAAACATATTTCCCCATATTTCCCCCCAACCATACCACATCATATTCAACAAACATATCCTTTTATAATTCCAGTGCCTCTCTTGTCACCATTTTGTTCCCAAAGACCTCCCTCCTAGAACCTTATTTCCTCTGCTCCTCTGAGGACTAATCACTCTCTAGGCTGCTCATGGAGGTCATGATAATGGCAGGTCCTGGGGGTCTTCAACTACGTAATCTCCTGTAGGGTTAAATTCAGTGTGACAGGATTTCAGTTGTAATAAGATGTTAAGTGAGATTTTCCCCCGCTCTTGGCCCAGAATTATAAAGTACAGATGTGAGGACCAGAGACAGTTAATTCCCCATATTCTAAAGAGAGCCACCAACTAAGCCTCATACCTGCCTTTCAGGGCTTGAAGGAAGACTGGAGAGGTGAAATTTTGTCAGAGACAAATATCCAGCTGACATAATGGTGCATTTGACTGAGATAGTGACGGTGGAGGTGGTGAGAAGGGGTCAAATTCTGGTTGTATTTTGAAGGGAGAGTCAGTTGGATTGGATATGAGGAAAAGAGGAGTCAAGCATGACTTCACATTTTTAGACTACTGAAAACTGAAACAGAAAGTATGAAGTTGCCAGGGATGCCTCAGTGACCCAGTCAATGGAACATCTGACTCTTGATCTCAGGGTTGTGAGTTCAAGCTCCACATTGGGTGTGGAGCCTCCTTACAAAAAAAAAAAAAAAAAAAAGTATGAAGTTGTCATTAAATGATGTGAGGAAAATTATGGATGAAGCAGATTTGGAGAAGAAGATCAGGAGTTTAATTTTGGACTTGTAGAGTTTGAAATCTATATTAGAAATTCAAGTGGGGATGTCAAAAGGCAGCTGGATATAGGAATCTGGTGTTCATTGTGGGGATCTGAGGCACTGATATAAACTTGGGAGTCCTGATTTTATAAATGGTGAGAGCTCCACTGAAATGCATGTAGCAAAGAGAAAAGTTTCAAAATGTCAGTTCTGGGGATACTCAACAATAAGAAGTGAAGATAAAATAAAACAAAAAACAAAACAGGAAAAGGGAACTGAGATGGAACAACCAGTGTAGAGTTTGGAGGAAAAACAAGAGAGCTTGGCATGCTGGATGAGAAGTAGAGGAAGGGTTTCCAGGAGGGGTATGAGGAAGGGCTGTTGATGGATCCAGAAAGAACAAAGATTCAGTTGGTAATCCGATGAGAGCAGTTAGTGGGGCTGAGTGGGAGAGGAACTGAGGATGCCAGTAAGACAGTCCTTTCAAAGAGGTTTGCCCTAAGAAGGAGCAGAGAAAAGATGTGGTAGCTGGAGGAGGAGTAGGCCATTAGGACTCTCTCTCTCTCTTTTAAAAATTTATTTATTCTTGAGAGAGAGAGCCCAAGTGAGCAGAAGAGGGGCAGAGAGAGCAGGAGAGAGAATCTCAAGCAGACTCTGTGCTATCAGTGCAGACCCCAACTCTGGGATGGATCCTACAAATGGAGAGATCATGACCTGAGCGACAATCAAGAGTTGGATGCTTAACAGACTGAGCCATCCAGGCACCCCTTTTGTTTTTAATATCAGGGAAAAAAACAGTATGTTTATTTACTATCAGTAGGACTCAGTTGAGATGTAAAAACTGATGATATAAGAGGAAAAGGGATATGTATCAGTCTAGGTCCTGGCAAGAAGCAGATGGTGTGCACAAGTTGGATAATTTGAACTTTTCTTTCTTTCTTTTTTTTTTTTTTTTTAGCTTTTTAAAAAAAAGCGTTTATTTATTTTTGAGAGAGAGTGCACATACCAGCAGGGGAAGTGTAGAGAGAGCGGAGGTGGGGGGGTGGACAGAGGATCCAAAATGGGCTTCGTACTGACAGCAGAGAACCCAGTGCGGGACTTGAACTCATGAACCAAGGATATCATGACCTGAGTGAAGTTGGATGCTCAACCAACTGAGCCACCCAGGCACCCCTAATTTGAATTTTTAACAGGGATGATTTATTATACAAAATTATGATCAGAGTATAAAGAAAACAAAGGGATAGAGTAGTACCCTGGGGGTAAGTTACAGATTGGTATTAATACCGATTAGGGGAGGGGAAAAGTTACCAGAACCCGGGAAAGGGGAGCTCTCTTAAGATCTACCTGTGCCATTTGGCGGATGGACTAAGCCAGCCCACAGGGAAGGAGCTGGAAAAATAAACTCCCACCTCCACTTTCCTCCCTCCTACACATCCCAAGCCCTTTCCTGGGCACCCCTGTTCTTCCCACTGGACAGAACAATATGGAAGCTGGAGGGCAGGGGAACCCGTTGACTCAGGGCAGACTCTCTGGCAAAGAGTAGGGCAGGGGCAGGAGGAAAATGGATCTCAAGGGGCAAACAAAAAATTCTGCACAGGGAGAATCACTGGAGTGATGACCTTGAGTAAGTGAGAGAGGAAGAACCTGGTGTACAAGTGGAGGGATTAGCTATAGAGTGGGAACCCCTCCAGGTCCTGCTCAGGACAGAGAGAAGGCAGACTGCCAGGGTGCACATGCTGGTAGGTTGGGTGATGTGATGGTAGGAGTTTAGAAATGGTTTTCTTCTTTGATTCCTTCATCTTTCTCAGGGAGAGAAGAAGCAAGGTCATCAGCTTGAGCGTAAGGTATTTGAATGTGTGCATGGTATTAAAGAAGCTGGGCAATGCTTCTAGTTCTGAGTTGTTTGCTAGTTGGGGACTGCCTATACTTTTGTATTTCTGCCATTCATTTTTACTGTGCCATGCTCTCATAAACATACTCTCTTTTCTAGTCAGATCCATCTCCCAACTAGTGCCCTCCAAGCTTATGTATTTACATCCTTTTATCTGAAACAAAAACAAAAACAGCAAAAAAACCGACACATCCCTTTGCTCATCTATTTTCCCTAATTCAAGGTATGTGTCCTTCATGAAGCCCTCTTTAACTACTCATCCCACACTGTCATTTCTCTTCAGTGTGCTCTACTTTGACCTGTTAACGCCACATATGCCTGGCTTTGTTTTCTAATTGTTTCCTGTTATCCTTGGTCTCTGCACTTGATTGTAAAATCATCTATGGCAGAAATAATTTCCTTTTTGTCATCTGGCCATGACGATGAGTTTAGACTTATAATAATTGCTCATTGAATTGTTATTATACCCAATATCCACTCAGAACCTGCAGCAAATGTGTGGTTACCTCGCTGGCAATGAGTTTAATACAATATTTGTTTTTTAGCTATATAATCCAGATGAAATTGTGACTACCACTTGAAGGAGAAAAAAATGTCTTTCCAATGGTGATTTTTAAATTTAGTTAATAAGAAATAATAGCTGAATATGAACCAGATGCATTTGCTCAACATATTATAATTATTGCAGGAAAATATTCTGAGTTTGTTATAATCTTATAAACCAGAGATTCTCAGTCCTGGTTGTATTGGTTGTGTACCTGAAGGCATTAGAAATTGAGCATCTGGGGGGCTCCTGGATGGCTCAGTTAGTTAAGTGGCAGACTCATGTGGTTCGTGAGTTTGGGTCCTGTGCAGGGCTCCATGCTGACAGTGGGGACCCTGCTTGAGATTCTCCCTCTCTTCCTCTCTCTGCCTCCTCTGTGCATGCTCTCTCTCTCAAAATAAATAAATAAATAAGATTACAAAAAAAAAAAAAGAAAAGAAATTGAGCATCTGGGAGCCAAACACAAAAATAAGAAATTGAGCATCTGGGAGCAAGCTTAAGAGATGTTTGACTGAGTATGATCCTTTCTGCTTCCCTTCTCCTTGCTAACTCCTGTGAAACTAGTCACCAAGTTCTGATTGTAGGTTTGAAATGACTCTTAATTCTCTGGGCATCTGACACGTAACCTGTTCCAAACCAAACCTTCATATTCTCCCTAATGCGCTGCACTCTCCTCTGATCTTCCTGCACCTTCTGGATTCTGTCTCCTATCTACACACTCAATCCACCCAATTCTGTCAGCTCTACCTTCAAAATACAGTGTCCTTCAGACCTCATCATTTGTCC